GTGATATTTAAATGCTCCTTTTCTTTTTGAACTACCTTGACTTAGAATGGCTATCAAAGGTCCATTTTCAGTTCTTCTTCTTAAGGAAAATTCTTCCTAATAGCTGTTGTCAATTGTTTTCTTTCAAATGTAATTTTTTAAGCTTCATATAGATAGTTTACTTAAAATAAATAAATAAATAAAATACACTAAAGACCCTCCAAAAAGGGCATTTCAAGACAACCTCAGCCAGGCGTGTGGCTCACGCCTCTAATCCTAGCACTTTGGGAGGCTGAGGCGGGCAGATCGATCAAGGTCAGGAGTTTGAAACCAACCTAAGCAAGGAGCGAAGCAAGAGCGAGACCCCGTCTCTACTGAAAATAGAAAGAAATTTATTGACCAACTAAAAATATATACAAAAAATTAACCAGGCATGGTGGTGCATGCCTCTAGTCCCAGCTACTTGGGAGACTGAGGCAGAAGGATTGCTTGAGCCCAGGAGTTTGAGGTTGCTGTGAGGTAGGCTGATGCCATGACACTCTAGCCCGGGCAACAGAGTGAGACTCTGTCTCAAAAAGAAAAAGAAAAAGACAGCCTCGTTTAGATATAACATTTAGGTGTATTTTTTGTGACCTGATAAAAGTCACATAGGATTTGGATTCTGGAGCTTAACCTATCTTCAATTCTGTTTATATGCTAAAGCTTAAAAGCTAAAAGCCATGACCAAAACGAATTTAAGATAGCCTAATTAGAGGACCAGGGGAAACTAGCACAGATTATGAGTATAAAGATTGTGAGGGATCTTGATTCAACCAGACTTCTTCCCAGGGTTGGACCCCAGTGTGAAAAGGTTTTGTTGATCCCATATGACAAACTGCATCACACTGAGATAAAACCTCTAACACAACCAGAATGGTTTACAATGCTTGCTCACTTTTTCCATTGCCTTAGTCCCTTATATATTTTCCTTTTTCTTTTTCTTTTTTTTTTTTTGCCTTTATTCACCTTCCTCATTGTGATGATATCTTGATATGTTTGACTTTTTATGCTTTCCAAATGCTTTTCACATACTATTTCCCATTGGATACCAACAACTGTCCTTCTATCTTCCTCTCCCAAATAAATAACTAGATATACAATGAATTAGTGGTAAACCCAGGCCTGGAATGGATGTTTTATATAATCTCTTTTCTACTCTATCTTATTTCCTCTTCACCCCATTGCTACATAACAATTTGCTCCATCTCTGCCCCTTTCCTAATTCAGTTTGTTTTTATTACCAATTTGTATTATATCTGTTTACATAAGAATCTGTACCTTTTATAAATGAGTAATTACCAAAGACCAGAGTCAGTTTATAGGTAATAGGATAGCCTCAAGTAAGACATTTAGGGATAAAATGTGAAAATTACTATCTTTGAATAGTCAATCAACTACCTCTTACAATCACTGTTTATTTGCTTTTTCCCTTTCTGCTTCTGCCAGCCAAGATTAAGTCTGAACATTGTGGTTTTGAACATATTGGGGGCTTTCTGGCTCCTTATCCTGCTTTTGTCACTTGTCAGTCTTGGGAAAGTTACTTAATCTACCCATGCCTCATTTTCCTTATCTGTAAAATGGATATGATGATAACAATAGCATCTTCCTCATTATCTTAGTGAAATAATTAAATTAGATAATGAATGTAAAGCACATAGCATACGCCCTGGTACAGTATAAGCACTACCTAATTGTTGGCTATTATTTTTTCTTGCAAAGTGCCGTGAATGTGTTCAGAGGAATTTTGTTCTGTAAAAGGTTTTGATTTTGTCAATAATAATTACCAGCTCTTAAGTTCATATTAAGGATATCTTAGTATGTGTGTATCTAATTTTCTAGTTCCCTGCCCACCTAAGGTAAACTTCATAAATCAATATTTATTAACTACTGTAGACTCTTACCGACTCCATTATGGTGGTTCTCAACCAGGAATAATTTTGCACCATGGGAAAATATTTGGCAATATCTGGAGACTTTTATTTTTAATCGTCACCACTGGGAAGTGCTACTAGCATCTAGTGGGTTGAGGCCAGGGATACTGCTAAACATCCTAGAATGCACAGAACAGCCCCCACCACAGAGAATTTCCAGCCACAAATGTCAATAGTGTGTCACTATTGAGAAACCCTGCTCTATTGGAGAAGGAAGCAGTATAAGACAACATCACTGTGAACAGTCTAGTTAGACAATGGTTACCAAATAATACTATTGTTTGTAATGATGCCAGTTAACACTGGGTTAGGTTAGATATGGTTAGTTCATCTTGAGGATTGGTTTGTTTCATGACAAAGTGTGTTATAGGACATAACTGTATGTTTAGACAGACCACAGTAGTCTTGAAAAATATGCCTTAAACACTCTCTGGTTTACAAGGGGTCTTAACCTTGGTTGATTATGAAAAACTTTATATAAATCTTAAATATTATATTTCAAAAGACACCAACTACCTGCCATATAGCTTAAATATATGGCAAGCTGCAAATTATTTTTTTCTTTAAATGAAGAATACATTGGTACCTATAGTAGTAATGTTGGTTTAAGCCACACAAGTTGGTATTATTATGTGGTATTTTAAGTGGACACAATCAAATGGTATTTTGGTTTGATAAATTTTCTTTTGTATACATTGAAATATTCCATTTTTATGTTCATTTGAATTAACTTATATTTTTGTGGAGGTGACTAATATCAATTGTGTTTTCTTATAGTTAAGTAATATTTGTTGTCGTTGTTGTTGTTTTCTTGCTCAAGATAAAATCATTCTCTTTCTTACCTGGTAAACACTTCCTTTAGCCATCTCAAACTCATGAACCACAATGGCATTTTGTATTGGATTTCACTGATAAAATTTTGGTAGAGATAGGGGTGTGTGTGTGTGTGTGTGTGTGTGTGTTTAGGTTTCCACTTAAAGTTCAGTGCCAAAGCTACAGTACTTATACATTTTCTAAATGTGTTTTAAGCAATAAGTTGTACAACATTTTTAGAACATGTGTTAAGCTATTTCTCTAAGAATGAAGCTCTTAACAAAACATAAGCACTCTGCATGAGATCTTAGCAGCAAAGTGCTTAAAAGATAAAGTAAGAATTGGTACCATGGGAAGAACACCAGCTGTAGAGCGCACAGGTCCATTATGAGAAGTATGGTAGTGGGTAGGGAGAAAATGATTTAATCAGGAGTAAAACCAATTTTATTATAAGGGCACGCAGGGGGTGTGGCACCATAGTGAGAGGGACATTTCAAAATATCTGACAGATTTCAACAATGTGAAAACCCCGTTCTTTAAAGTGACAGTAAACCCCATCAGGTCTCCCTTTTTGATGCTATTGTTAGCAGTTGACTGTTTAAAGCTGGCCTGCTAAGATGCTGTCGGCCTATTTCAATAGTGTGTAGCCAAATAAAAGACTAATTGTTGAAATACAATCAATCAAAAATGATTGCAGGGCAGAAAGAAGGTCTCCTCTGCTGATTTTGTTGTGGATCATATTATTGTGTTATGATTGAGGTAGGAATGAAGACTGAAAGGGAAGAAGAAAATAGCCCATCTGAAATAAACAGATCCACCTCCATTTCTTCTCTTTGCAAACATTCTATTGAGCAGGAACGTCACTTACCAGTGCTGGAAATAATCGTTCATTTTGAAAAAAAAAGACCTGATAGAGATTTGGGCTAATATTTTTAAAAGGACATGAACACTATTAGCAAAATAGCCCACGCAGAGAATTCCTACAGTGACAATTCTCAGCTTTTCTTGTATTTTTGGTGCAAAATGCTTCTCTGCATTCATAAAACTGACACTGAGGGGGCACATGAATGTGAGTCCAAGACATTAATAAAGAAACAAAATTCCAGTTGACCAATACCTGTTAAGTGCTTGCCAGGATTCTCTGCTTTTCAGTTAATCCCCAGATCATCTAAAATGGCTAGTTTTAGTTTTTATTAAGCCCAGAATCCATAATCTTTTCCGTGTTGCACATTTCAAAAGACAAATCCTGTAGATCAACAGCAATGCCTTTGTGCCTTGCTCCCTTTTAATTGTATGTAAAGTTGTCACTTTTTAGACATTAATACAACCACTTCTTGGGTAAGAATGACTCCAGACATTCATATTGAGGGTGAAAAGGACAAAAATAATTGCCCAGCACACTTTATTTGTACTAAAACTTTCATTTTGTCATTTACTTCCTTTAATATTTCAACATCTCCACTCACTCAAGCTTCAAAAGCAAACATTTCTGTTGTTGCTAAAAAGAGTTGGTAAGCACTTGTGGTTTGTCTTTAGTGTGTTATCATTTTTGACAGCTTTGCATAGCCTATGTAGGCCAACAGGGGTCTGTCTAATATTGTTGCTGGGCATATTTTCCTCACTGAGATGAGAACCTAAAAAAAGATATTTTTGAAGCAGTAAGAAGGAATTAATATCCTTTTCTCACTCAGTATTCTATTCCTTGCTGACTTTATATTCCGGCAAAAAAGGGAAAAAAAGTGTTACCCATTATTCCCTTGTACATAGCAAGGCTAACACATGTAAAGCAATAACTCATTTTCTATTGCCATGTTTAGCATATGTCTCCTGTTGGCTCAGCAAGGCCTTTAGGCCGGTCCCTTGAGCCGGCCATCATTGGCAACTCTTAGCCCCTCGGCCTCAAAACCAAATAGCTTTGAATCATGTTGAGCTGTGATGCTAATTTTCATACTGATGCATTATGGGAATAAATGTATCTGACATACTGTGTCAATGGCACTGTCTCTTTGTGTCTCTTGTTTTTTTGTTAGCTGCATTCCTACAGATGGTATTCCATTGAAAATGTTCCCTTCCTACGGAAAAAGGGGGAAAAAAAAAAACAAGCACAGCACCAAACCTCTAGGTACAGAAGGCTGTTAACGGTTGCTGATGATAGTAGGCAAACATTAACATAATAATTAGTGTCTTGTAATTGTTTCATTAAAACCAGTTGTTCCATTTCTCCTCGTGTTTTCCCAGAAGAGAAGCTGAATTTGGACGACAGCCAGTGGGAGGACATCCACGTTGTCACCGGAGCACTGAAGATGTTTTTCCGGGAGCTGCCTGAGCCGCTCTTCCCTTACAGTTTCTTTGAGCGGTTTGTGGAGGCGATCAGTAAGTACCCCACAAAACGAGCAGTCGGTAGAATAACCTGGCATCGTGAAATTATTAAGTAAATAATAAGAATGATGATAATAATAACCATGGGGAACAGATAATTTCCCCAATGCTCCATATCTTTCGTTTTAGGTTTTGTTTTTGATGGCTTGTTTTATTTCTGGCCCTGCAATATTATCTGAGGTTTTGTTTGTTTTTTTTTTAATTAAGAAAAAAAAAAAAAAGAATATGGCATCCTACATGGGGAGGGGCAATTTAACTAAGCTTCCTCAAGTGAAATTGTACCTTCTCATGGAACCTGTTTAAAGGGATCACCTTTTGCATCCCTAGTGTCTGCATTTATACTTTCAGAATTGCAATGAGTTTGAGTACAGAGAGATTTAGAAAAGGAACGTCAGTAAATTAAATATTACATTACATTAAATATGTGTTAAATCCTCAACTGAGGCATCACATTCTCTTGGCTTACTCACCCTTCACTCACCAACACTAGTAAATAATCAGCTACAATTTGCTTATGAGCAGTGTGAATATCAAATTAGGCAATGGCAAGTTTTTTTCTGTTAAACTAATGACTTTTTTGGGGGGAGGGGTAAGTTATATCTCTTACCAACCCATAGTCAATGTATACTCTATGAAGCTTCCTTTCCTATTATTTTGTTATTCATAAAACACACACAAACACATACACACACTTAAGTAAAAATAAATGAATGAATGAATGAATAAATGAAATGTTTTCCAAATGCAAGGGTCCTTCTGCTATTGAGTCTTGGAGAAGTAACTACTAGTACGTCTTTAAGTTTAATATCTCAGGATATGCTCACCATAACTGTGACAGCTCAGAAAAAGTGTCCTGGCAAGCAAGCTTATTTAGGAGGAAAAAGAAAGAAGAAAGAAAGGTAAAATTAAAAAGCTTGCAAGCCTGGCAGGAGCTTAATTAAAGTCCCAATGAGACAAATCTCCAAGAAAAAAATGCTCTACTTAGGAGGTCTGATCTTGGATGTCTATGTGTGCATGTGCAGTGTTCCCATTGGTGGGAGTATGCATTTGGGGGACCCACGTTAGAGAATAGCCCCCCAACATGTCCTTTTATTCTGTCTTTTCGTTCACAAAAGTCTTCACACTTGTTTAAAGCTCTGGCAAAATGGTATCAAGAAGAATAAAGAACAGGTTTTTTCTCCCAAGGTTTTTCTCTTACTGTCTGCTCACAATTTCAGATTTTGTTGCTGCTGTGGCTGCTGTTGTTGTTGTTTAATGTAGTAACAGTATTCTAATTATGAGTTTTTAAAGATGAGGCTGGAGCTCTTATCCCTTGTCATGACTTTTCATTTCATGAGCCTACCATTTCTCAAGAAGAGCAATATTTTACTAATATAATTCCCAGGCTCTCTTAAACCTCATTTAAAAACAAGGAAAAATAAACAAGCAGGCATTTCCATAAGAGCTTATTCTTGGAACATGCAAGCATGGCCAACCTAACTCAGGATGTTAAGACAGCAGTCTGGTAGGAAATTGGAGGGCCTTGCATTTGGGTACCTACCTCTGTGCACATTTAAAGAAGTTGTGCAGATTTCACCTCACAATCTCCATACCTCCCAGTGAGGATTATCTCATTTGGAAACATATTTGAATATGTTCTGATTTGGGGCTATAATATAAGATAATCCATCATTTAAATTTCCTTCCGTTTACTCAGTTCTAAATAAGTTAGGAAAGTCATTCTTTTAGTTTAAGAGTAAGAGAAAGCAGGCCCTCAGAACCCATGTAAAGGTATATATCCTTTGAATTTCTGTGAAGGGTAGAACCATCTCTGGGATATCCTAGACTTAAGTCCAAATTGGACAGACTTTCAGAAATAAAGGCATGCTTAGAACTGAACAAGGCAGAATTGAGGCAGGCAGCATGCCACTGCCACTAGTGGCTACGGCAAGAGTTTCTGCTAACACATAAAATGGGTTATGATGAGAATGAATGAGAAAGTACTAAAGAAAGTCCTTTAAAATGTAAGATGCTGTACAAACAGTGCTAACAGTGTTTCTCCAGATGAGCTTTGTGTGAGAATGTAATTTGGAAGAGAAGAGACAGTAGAGTATTTCCTTCTTTGCACAAGGCAAGGAGACTCAAATGAATGTTCATGTCCCACCAAAATTTATATGTTGAAATCCTAAGCCCCAAGGTGTTGGTATTAGGAGATGGGAGCTTTGGATGGTGACTAGGTCATGAGGGGACAGCCCTCATGAATGGGATTATTAACCTTATAAAAGAGGCCCTAGAGAGACCTGTGTTCTCCTCTACAATGTGATGACACAGCTAGAAGTTGTTATCTGTTAACCAGAAAGCAGGCCCTCTCCAGACACCAAATCTGCTGTTGGCATGATCTTGGATTTACCAGCCTTCAGAACTAACTGTGAGAAAGACATTTCTGTTGTCCTGTTGTTTATAAACTACCTTGTTGATGCTAATTTATAGTAGCCCAAATGGATTGAGACACTCAGCAACTTTGCCTTAACTAACTCAGAATAGTAGAGTGCCATTATTTTTTCAATATGTAAAACAGAGGGACTAATCAACAGGGTAATGGGGCTGAGACATATGTTATGATGTTGGACAGAGACATTACTAACCCATGTATTTTTGGTATAACCTTGCAGTTAGTTCTTGTGTTATAAACTCAGGTTAAACTCTAGGTTGTAATTCATATTTAAATATCCTTAGGCAATGGGAGAACATTCACCTAGTTCCTCAGCAGTGGTAAAAACCACACCAGAGGAGATACTTTTACACCATTGTACATCAATTATACTAAAAAATTAAAGAACATTCATATTCAGTCCCAGAGGGCTTCATCATGGCTCTTGTTGCCTCTTATAAAATCTATACAGTTAGAAGCTCAACAAGTCCACTCATGAGTTATTGGTTTTATAGGGAAAGAGACCAACCAGGTAAAGTAAATTCGCAGGTGGGTTTGACCATATATGCTGAGTCTGGGCCTCTTTGCCCTCAGACCCTTCTCCTTCCCTATGCCCTAGGAAGATTGGCCAGCACCTCTGCAGGTGCTCTTGAGGTGCTGTCACAGCCAAGGGAAGCTACTGGCAGGAGACAGCAGGGGAAGGGGAAGACAAAGTCTTTTCTGCCTGAGGCTCCTCCCCCATGGCTTCAGCTTCGACTGGACGAGCCCACTCTGGTTCCACCTGGTGATGCAGACCCTCCTTTCTTTCCCCCTCCAGCCTGCAGGAGGTAGCGGCTTCCCTCTGTGGCTAAATTCTTGCTTACCTCACTCTTCCTTATCTGGCTCTCAGCTTCTTCATCACTTGGGTAATCAGTTCTCTGCATCAGACTGATTTCTTCTGTTGGTGTGAATACTTTGAAGAGCTTTCTGTTGTTTGGTTAGACACAAGCAAAACACTATGCCAGTCAGTGTCACAGTTCATGTTGTCACGTTATTTCCCTTTTCTCTTGCCTTACCCACAAGCCTAGTTTGTGAATCCTTAACATTTTTATTTAGGCCCAAATTGAAAGATCTGTTACCTTTTCATGGCCACCTCAAAAGGTGGCTAGAACAAAAGGGATTTTACACCCAACTGCAGTGTTTTGCATTTGAGGAGGAAATGTTATTTCTAATACAAGCAATTAATGACTACTGGTGCCATTTGAATTACTTTATTTCTCATTATGTTTGAAAGTCATCATTACATATTCCAGAGGACTGAACAGAAGGCATTTACTTTTGAAAATAGTTTCTTTTTGGACCAAAAGCAAACATTAAAATAATAAGACCCTGCAATTGCCATAGTGATCCCCTGTCTGTTAATACTCATTGGGGTACAAACAAAAACACGAGAGATTGTTCTATGTTTCAGAATCCAAGTACTGCAGCTATTGATCTGAAATTCTATACTCGAGGTCAATCCAATTGGGTCACCTGCAGGTTATTTCATGGGGATTTAACCCACTGACTGCAAGGACTTAATTCCCTGGAAATGACTTGTGCTGAAGGCATTATTAGTATTGTAAATGTGAACTTTGTAGAAAAACATAGCCATAGAATTTTATGATAGGTGATGCAATCTTGTAGCTAGAGGCCTGAAGGGGGTCTAGACATTTCCAGTAGATCTAAATCCTAGGAAACATACTAAGTTTACCTCTATTCTCATCTTTTTCATTCTGGTAATTCTACAGATCCAAAGGAAAAAAAGACAACAAGCAGTGTCTTTTTTTGTTTTAATAACTGCATTTTTCCAAAAGTCCCTGGGAAAGAGAAAGAGGGGAGAAAAACTCATTGCATTTCTGATAATTGTCTCGTTTAATCCTCGTAATAACAAAGCAGGAGATATTGGAGAAATGGAAAGATCATGTGGAAAATAATTTCTAATTCATAAAGTTACTATGAGAATTAAATAAATGAACATTTTTCTTATCCTATATTAGGCCCTCAATAAATGATTTAAAAATAGACTGGATTTTTTAGAGGAGTCTCAAGTTCACATAGCTCAAAAAATTAGACTTAACTTTCAACTCCAGACTTTAAAACGTAAATACTTTCTGTCATCCTACATTGCCACAAGGAGTAACTAACTAGCTATTGCCAAATACCTGCCTGTTATATTATCCTTTATAAGACTTATATATTCTATATCATTGTATTTAACACCACAAATAATTCTTTCTTCTTTTTTTAAAACTGAGTATATATTAAATTAAATGTCAGAAATTCTAGTATAGTAGTTTTAGGTTGGAAATAAAGAACTATCCAAGAGTGAGCAATGTTTCAATATTTATCACTAAATATTAAAAGCATTAATGCTTTAAATGTTGACTTCTCTGAATATGTTGTGTTTTTATAATTTTTTTTAAATTTCAGAATATTACGGGGCTACAAATATTTTGGTTACATAAATTGCTTTTGTACCATTTGAGTCAAAGTTATAAGTGTGCCCATCCCCCAGATAGTGTGCATTGTACCCGTTAGGTGTGAATTTACCCATCCTCTCCAC